CGAGTGTAACGTTACACAAAAACGATCCAGGTAGTTACGTTACATTCTAGAGCAGGGGTCTCAGAGAGCAGACGACGCGCGGGCCGCACGGGTCCCGCGGGCCGCGTCTCTGAGACCTCTGTTCTAGAGGTACGTTCCGTAACGTTTCAGGTCTGAAACTGGTCTAGAAAAAGGCAGAAGTAACGATATGAATAACGGAACAATAACGGCCGCAAAAGTTACGTTACAAAAATTTCCCTGCGTTGCATGTGCCACCGCAACGCCACCGCGGTCGTCTCGCGCCTCGGGCTCGATCTCCACTTACCACCGCCTTGACACCCTCGACGCGGAGCTACACCTACGCCCTTCTGTGAGAAACGGCTGAATGCACTATGGACTTCTCCTGGGCCGCAGCTAGCTCCTCAGAGAATCCTCTGGTCCTATGCCTTCCTCCGACAGCATCCAGATCAAATTCAGTCGAGACCGGAGCCCAGAGCAGCTCAAAGAAAAAAAATTAAAAGCATCTCGCCTGCCCGATGTCGAACCCCCGACTGGGGGGACAGCTGTCCGAGACTCTCTCCACCTCCACTGAACCAGAGCGGATCACTGGAGGTGGTGGCAGCGCACTGCTCTAGTTAGCTCGCCAATTCCAGCGTGCTGGAGCGCACTCACGACTGTGGGCGGGTTGCCTAATCACTCGGCTCGTAGGTCGCCGTGGACAGGGGCGAAAGGCAAGCCCGCCCACACTCGTGCGTGTGGTACAGCAGAACTACAGAAGTGAGGGGGGTTAATCAGCCCCCTGGTATAAGAGGATGACAGATTATTATACACTGTTAAAGTAAGAAAAGTAAAGTCTATCCCTCTTCACCTTGTGTTAAATCTATACCGTCTCTTGTTTGAACTGCCAAACTAAAAAGTTATTCAGTTTGAACCGGTAGACTAGCCCTGTTTAGTGTACAAATGTACCGAATTGAACTTTTTACTTTTAAGTTTCTGAGTTAAAACTCTGAAACTTTTAGTTTTGTACTTGAAATTGTCATATTAATGCACGGATAGGTTTGTCGAGTAGTAGATGCCCTCGGAAAATCGCGCGGTTCGTGTTTGGAGGTATTTCCATTGCGTCAGAGGTTTTTCCCGCATGCAGGAATTACCTCCAAACCGACTAAAATACGTTTATTTTCGAGCAGCTACAATATTTTCCACAGTTTGGTGCTTGGCTTTTTGCCAAACTTCTTTAAATACACTTTAAATTGTATGGCTTGACCTACTGTTCCCGGAAGGCGCCATGGTTCCTGTGACCTAAGCGAGTAGGCAAACCCCCACAACACTACTGAAGCGGATGTAAAGCAATCGCCTGTATACATGGAGCACATGCAATGCACCACAAAACACCATCTATGACAGTGGAAGCATACTGCACAAGTGTCACATGTCGCACTTTTTTCTCCAGTGTACGGCCGCCACAGCGAGAGAGCCTTACTGAAGCGTTGATGCGGCACACACAGGGTGGTCCACAGACCCCTTCCTTTATTTTGCTTCTACTGTACCGGATGCAGGCGTGCGGGCGGGTTGCATACTCGCACGGGGCCAGAAGGCACCGCGGTGAGCGACGGTAGGGAAGCCCGCCCGCACGCCACGCCTGCATGCGGTACAGTACAAGCAAATTAAATGTATGTTCACGTGAAGTACGCGTGTTAGCGTGTTGCGGGAGCACGGCGTGTGCGACACTGAACGCGTACGGTTGTCTCTCACCAGTTATTGAACAGCCTTAGCACGTAGTAAGTCACGCGGCATTTCTTCTAATGTTCCGTGATAGTGTTGATGGTTTTTGTTTTTTTTCATCAAAGTGTGTGTACTAGCGTCTGCTACATTATTAGCTGACAATTGCAAAAGTTTAGCTTATTGCACAGTAGAAAGTAAAAAATGTTTCGCCCAGCTCCCGCCCTTTCATGATATTGATGCGTTGTGTTGTTTTTTTTGTCTGTTTGCATGTGAGTTTGGTGTCGGCGGCGGTGGAGTGCACTTGCTCTCCTTACTTGTCTGTGCCCTGAGAACATCTGTCAGCTTTATTGACAACTCACTGACGCCTTGAACGCTTTCTCAGCTCTCCTGGAAAATTCTCGCCTGCTGTGCTGTGCACTTTGTTTGAAATAAAAGCTTGCTTTTTCATTCATGCAACGAACTAATGTTGTTCTCGTGTCTTAATAATCCCTTTACCCAAGCTGCTGGACGGAGTGCCGCCTAAGGTTTTCAGGTAAGTCAGCGGCGAATCGCACGCAGGGCGTAAGTACAACCCATAGAATGTTTTGAACGCCGTAGTGATTCGTATTTAATTTTTAAAAGACTCGAAGACGCCGTTGTGCGCCGATGGGGAAAAGGTGGGTAGGTTGGAGATCAATTTGCCTATATAACCTGACGCTCGGGAGCATTTGGAGTTAGACATGTGCGAGGGGCCTTATTTTTGGCAAACTGGTGTACACAGAGCCTACCCCGGCAATCTTCGGCAATCGTCAGCTTTAGGGCCAAAAGGCCATGCGTTTTGCCAACATGCAAGATGAGAGTAGCGCGTTTTGCCTAGTTTCAGGCGAGGTTTCAGGCATTTTTGTGTACCAATGTCCAAATATTTCATGAGCGATCTGGCAACCTTTGCAAACTAGTATGCACTAGGCAAGAGAGTTGAGGCGCCCTGCTTGGATATGTGCGGGATGGCGCGGAAGCATGCAAGCGGATCAGTCACCGTCACCGAGCGTCCCCCCGCTAGAGAGGGGGGATAG